GATGGATAAAATGGCATTAGAAGATTTAACAACTCTTCTTAAAATTGAAGGATCAAATATTAATGCTCTGGAATTAAGAGGGATACTGTATATGAAATTAAAATGTTATGATAAAGCATTAAACGATTTCAATGCAGTATTGTTATTAAAACCTAATCTACTTACTCCATTGGCTAATCGATCAAAGATTTTCCGAATGCAAAAAAATTATGTAGATGCATTGAATGATCTTGAAAAATATTTAAAGTTTGGTGGTGAACTAAATGCTTCAATACTTAAAAATAGAGGATTAATCTATCGCGGATTGGCAAGATCTAAAGATGCTTTGAATGACTTTTCTGCTGCATTACAGAAAGAGAGGAAAGGTTCGATCTTTAGACATCGTGCTTCCGTGTATAGGACTTTGAGACAATATCAAGAAGCATTACACGATCTGGATCAAGCGATAGAGATTAAAAACTCTGATAAAGAAGCTAATACTATGCGTAATCAAATTTACACTCAACTTAATAGGTAATTTCATTATTATTATAATAATCAGACTATTTTAGGATTATTTTTAATATTAATTTTACATTAGATTTGATGATGCATTGAGAGGATTAACAACGTCATTACAAGTAACACCAAATGATGTTAATGCACTTGCAGATCGCGGTACCGTATACTATGCGATGGGTGAATCTAATGATGCAATGACAGATCTTAAGAAGGCTTTATCAATAAATCCAAATCATGTACCTGCCTTATTAACTCGTGCCAAAGTATATCGGTCACAGAAGGAATATAAATCAGCATTAGATGATCTTAACATAGCAATTAAAACTGACTCTTCTAAACCACGATTATATCGAAACAGAGGAAAAGTATATACGTTAATGAATGATTATACAAATGCATGTAAAGATCTAGATTTATCTCTAGGGATGGAAATGCATTCTTCTGCACTGCGTTATCGAGGTCAAGCATTATCAATGCTAGGTAGATATGATGAAGCAATTTTAGATTTCGATAAAGTATTAGAAATGAAACCTAATTCTGATAATGCTTACCGTGATCGTGGTGAAACTTTTTACAAACTCGAGAAATTTACGCGCGCTCTTAAAGACTTAAACAAATCATTGGAATTTAAAGAAAATGCCAAATCATTTGAATTACGAGCTGCTATACATGAAAAACTTGAAAATTACCAAGAGGCATGTATAGATTTGAATAGAGTTTTACAATTAATACCGGATAATCTTGAGATTTTATTGAAACGGGCAACTTTATGTGAGCGGCTGAAAAAATACCATGAGTGTTTAGACGATTGGACTTCTATTCTGAAACTTAAACCAAATGACATTCAGGCACTTCAAAACAGAGGGAAAATATTGATGAAATTATGTAGATATAATGATGCTAAATCAGATTTTGATCAAATATTGCAACTTGATGCTCAAAATATTGAAATTATAGCATTAAGAGCTGAAATTTTACAAGAACAGAATAAATATGATGATGCAATCAAAGAATTAACAGATGCGATAAATAAATTTGGAGATAAATGCCATTTGCTTGCAACACGTGGAGGGATTCATATGCTAAAAAAAGAGTATGATGAATCTTTGCAGGATTTGAATGGTGCTTTAAATATTGAATATAATTCGTCGTCGAATGAGTCGCAAAGCCTAGGTGATCTGGTTGGTATTTTAGATGATAATGAGGAAGAAACAGAGGAGATAATTACCTCCTCCAAATGCTATACTAAATCTCATGTTTTGGCATTGTGTTATCGTGGTTCTGTGTACAGAAATAAGAATGATTATGATAGTGCATTGATAGATTTGAATACGGTTTTGACTAATGATCCGAGTAATACTTTTGCACTTTATGAACGAAGTTCTATATATAGAGATACGAAACGATTCGATGAAGCTTGGATGGACATTGAAAAAGCTTTGAAAATAGATATTGAAGTGGATGTGTAATATTAAATCTAGAAGATTTAATGTTCTAAGATGATATACTTGAATGGACATTGAAGTACCTGTTGAAATCTAAGAGATGTAATGTCTTGAAAAGGTTAATATTAATTATGATATTTTACTAGTCATAATTAAATATAAGTAAACATTTAGCATTAATAATATATTAGACCATGATAAAATTAATCAATCACAGTCATCCCTGAGTTATATCTCCACTGGGTTTTTTCCCAACCTGAATTATATCCCATATTTAAGCAAGATAAATTTCCCTTTTTTATTTTTTTTATATTTTATATATTGAATTATATCCCTAACTTAGTTATTAGTTATATATCCAAAATGCTCTGGAAAAAAGGGGATATAACCCAGGTATGACTGTAGTATACGTATAACCTAAAAGTTTTATACAGTAATAGATAACTCATATACTTATCTGGTATAGTTGTGAGAACCAATTGAATTAATTTTGTAAGGTTTTATTATTGTATACATGTTCGAAACTATATAGTAAATAAAAGTATTTATACATTCAAAATATATAAGCACGAAGATTAATGTTATTATTACCTATTAAAAGCCTTTTAATTGTAAGTTCATGGACTTGTCAGAGCAACTCTGCATAAAAAATAGCTTTGTAAAAAATGCTATGCCTCTTTAAAAATTTACTAAATACAAAAACAAACCACAAGATTTATTCTTGTTTTTAAGAACGAAACTTGTGGCTTCAATTTAAATTTAATATCGAATTAAAATAGTAGTCATTATATTTATTAAGAAACTTTAAAAATGTGAATGTATGTTTTCTTTTAACCAATCAAATTACTCTATTTAGTTATGTATTTGAGTGTCGCTAAAAGAAAACCCGAAAATTTAAATATAACTTATATTTAACTTTTCGGGTTTTCTTTTAGCGACACTCATTTATACAACTCAAAGAATTTTGCTTTTCAGAAATAATCGGACAAAATTTTGGTCTAAATATGGCTCATAGGAGGACTTTCGTTTGTTGGCTGCCCGGGTAACTAATTTATACAGTTTAAAGTACTTTTTTAAGCTGCAACGTTTCACCAATTTATCTACGAATTTTTTTTTTTTTTCATAATTAGTCTCAGAAGAGTGTTGCCTTTAACTGTGCAAAATAATCATAAAATAATCTAAAACTTATTAGAAACAAAGATTACTAGGTGTATTATTAAGTAAGCAATCAGTAAAGTGAAAAAAAGATAACTAACATGATTTCCAAAGGTTAGACTTACAATACTCTGCTAAAATTATTATTAGCTTTAAGCAAGCCTTCTGCCTTACTTTATTTAGAATAAAAAATATACTACAGTCTATTGGGCTATGTGAAATTGTACTGCGAAATAAAGTTAAATAAAGGTGCTTGTTTAATAGATAATTCGCCTGTCATCTGGAGAGCTATGTGACGCAGGTTACACAAGATTTATTAATAGGGATGGAAAATGTATACTGAAGGTTGGCGGCGCAGACAAAATTCTCAAAATTCGTTAAGGTTAGGGTTAGGGTCAGGGTTAGGATCTAGAGAGGGATAGTTTTTATGGTAAAATTGCCCAACGAAAACTTTTTTTGTTAGAGCGCAAAAGATAGTTTCTTATGCTGATTTTGGAGATATGAGCGATTTTTTGCAAAACGAACGTTTGTTTTGGATCTTCCTGATCGTGTTACGTTACACCTAATTTTGAAATCTGATTCGTAGTACAGGAGAGCTGCGCCACCAACCTTGTACACATTCGGAAAATGTTTTTAATTACGTAAGGTGATGATTTTGTTCTTAATATATTTAAAAACAAATTTAACTATTCGGACTTTTAATCATCACCTGTTTTAAATCGGTGAAAAAGTGTTTAAAACTGTTTTTTTCCATCCTTATATATAAATTAAATGTGGAGTGCGCCAATCTAAATTTTCTTTCTTACTAAGCAAACCACCTTTGAGCTTCTAAGCAATGTTGTTTAATGATAGTGAGAGCGATAAAATCTCCCAGTCGTTCCTGAGGTATCTATCTTTAAAAAACGTTTCGCCGTTATATAAAATTTCGTAAGAAATTTTATATGATAGCGAAGGATATCTCAGAAACTACTGGGCTGATTTTATCACTCTCACCACCATTATATACGTCTTGATGAGCTTACAACTTTGCTTAGAAGCCCAAAGGTGATTTACTTAGTAAAAAAAATTTAGATTGGTACATTCACATTTGGCTCAATACTTATAAAATTTGTAGATCTTCTCCAGATGATAGAATTGTCTATTAAAGTTACTTTGTTATATGTTGTTTTTAATTTTAATTTACATGAAATTTCAAAATACATGTGATTTATTATTCCGAACAACTTTACTTAAGTCATAATATTAATTGACTTAGTAAAATTTTTTTAATTTTAATATATAGCCACGATTTGGATCTACCACAAAATCCCGACATCCAAAATCCCGACAGTACAAATCCCGACAGTGCTAATCCCGACGTACATAATCCCGACAAGATAAAATCCCGACAAGA